GAAGAGGATGAAGAAGAACTATTGGTTTTACTAAAGAAGCTAAATGAAAAATATGAAACTAAGAAAGCCTTAAAACAACTAGCGAGAAGTAATTGGTTCATGTTCTAATTTAGAGATAAATGAAGATCCAAATAATCCTATTATTGGAAAAAGAAAGGTAATTGGATATAAGACCAAAACTGTGAGTGAACCAGTATATGAACATGAAGTTAATATGCAAATGGAAGCTTGTAATGAAATATCTAGTACTAATCCTAATAGCATTTATATGCCAATTGATATATGCATTGAAGATTATAATAAATATAAATTATGTGTGTATATTGATAGTGTTTGTTCTACATGTTTTGGAAAAAGATCGTTATTTCAGAATTCTTATGGAAAAAGGCTAAAAATCCTATTCAAGTTGGAATTGCTAATAATAGTGTTATGATGCATACGAAAATAATTGAAGAATTACCAATAGAAATTGGAGGAGTTCAATGTGTTATTCCTATTTTATGGGCTACTGATCAACCTAGTCATGATATGATAATAGGAAATAATTTTCAAAGATTATACTCTACATGCACTCAAACTATTAATCAATTATCTTTACTATTAATGGTCACTCTATTTCTATACAAAAAATAACTAAAGCAAATACCCATCAGACTATGGAATTTACACGTAGTCAGCGTGGTGATAGGGTTACACCTACATAACGAGATGTTGCACTTAGAATTTCTGTGTGTAAATCATCATAAATAGATCAGATAATTAAGCAGCAAGAAAAATTATGTGAAAAATTGTATTCAACAAATCCATTAGAACATTAAGAGAAAGATAAAGCATTTGTTAAGATAACTCTAACAAATCCTAATAAGATTATTAGAGTAAGACAAATGGTTTGGACCTACCAAGATGTATTTGAATTTGATGAACAAATAAAAGAATTGCTGAATAAGAAGTTAATTAGGAATAACAAGAGTCCTCATAATAGTCTAGCATTCATGGTAAGAAATAATGCAGAAGAAAAAGAGGTAAAGCTAGAATGGTCATTAATTATAAACAACTAAATGACGAGGGAGGGTAATTAGGTAAGCAATGAACAATCATAGCAGAAACATAGCCAGGTTGATCCAAGTGATACTCCTTAAACACATCACATCTATAAGAACAATAAAAGCGTATCCTGCGAATATAATCCCAAACATGCTCATAGTCCTTCTTCACTAAAGTGCCCATATCAGTAAAGAAATTCTTTTATCACATCTATAAGAACAATATAATCCTACGAGGTATTTTGGGTCATGATTCAATAAAGAAATTCTTTTATCAAACTCAAGTATATATTCTTTGCAAAAATTTGAGTTTGGTGTTCAATCATACAATTTTGTATTAATTCACATAAACATGCTTTCACTTAAATACACATCATCATACAACATGCTTGGACACTTTGCATAAATAAAATATGCACATAGGAAAACATACAATTCTAGCCTACATGCCCTTTCTTTCCTACCCAATCTCACCACATGCTCTCAAAAGCAATTAATACATAATTACATACCTTAATTCCTTCGCATACCTACACACATAATTTTTTTTTTTTAATTGAACTTATAATTTTTTTGAAAATTAATTGCCCGAAATATAAAAAAAAAAAAAAAAAAAAAAAAAAAAAAAAAAAAACAATTTGGACCCTTTAAATAAAATTTAAAAATCGGCCCTTTTTCAAAAAAAATTCAGACCAATTTCTTAAAATTATTAAAAAAAAAAAAAAAAATGGGTCCTAAGAAGAAAATTTTCGGACCTCATAAAATATTTTCAAAATTATTTAAATAAGCACTTTGCCAACATAGGTACCTAAAAAAACGTTTTTGGCTTTACTTGTAATTAAAATCCAACAAAATCTCCCAGATACCACTTTGTAATACCCTACAAATTTTTTTCTTTTAAAATACTCTTTTTACTCTAAATAAAACTCATTTTAGGAAATAACCAAAATATTACTCCCACTGTGATAAAGGCTAAAACTATTTTCAAAGTCACACAGCAGAAGTCTAACTTAGAAATCAACTTTTCAAAACAAATAACTTGAGTTCACAACCTCAAAAATATTAATAAAGTAAAAACATCCACAAGTTGGAACCAATATAAACATGGCCCTTCAAAAACCAATTTAAAATAAAACATAACAATGTTAGTCCATAATTAATAATTAGCAATTCATAAATATAAAACTAAGAAAGCATAACAAGTAACTCTCTGCACTCATTCCCTTCATGGTCTTCATGCTTCAAGTACCTGTTACTTTCTCTTTATTTCAACCCCTCTACTCACCATATAAATAGGTCATAGTGGGGTCAATCCAAAGGAAAACCAAACAAACAAAAAAGTACGAATCAACAAAAGCTGAGTACATATGCACCACACTAACATGAATATCCTAGCAATAATAAATAAAACATACTCGCCATACAATTCACAAGTCAACTTACCTTTGACTCATAACTAACAAATTAATTATTAATAAATAGCTTTGGATTACGCATCGAATGAGTTTCCTTCCTTAAAAATAGCCCATTAAAATATTGAGCTTCCAATTAGGGAGCTACCCTAATTGGCACCTACTACGTCACCTTGTGACGAAATTCCAACGCATTAAGAGCACTCCCGGCAGTGAGGGAAAAAGCCCTCACGAGTAAAAATAAAGGTGTAAAAAAAATACCCGAGCATAACGTTAGTGAGGGAAAAAACCCTCACCGTTGAGAGCTATGGAAAACGCACAAGAGTTGAGGGGAAATACTCGTGAACAGTAACTGGTGGGCCCCACATGTACACGCAGCTTTCCTTTTTTTTTTCCTTTCTGGCTTGCAAAACGACGTCGTTTTGCCTTAAGGAAGGGCGAAACGACGCCGTTTTGAGGGGCAAAAAGGGAAAAAAAATAAGGGGGCAGCTGGCCTGACGTGCGTCAGACCCAACCAATGGGGATGCGACACGCGTCAGGCTTTGTCCTTCCAACCAATCAGATTTTTTTGCTTTTATTACAACGGTTATATTTTTGTAAGGTAAATATAACCGTTGTAATTATAAAAAAAAAAAAAAATCACCAACGGATAGATTTTTTTTTTCTCTATAAATAGACATGCATTTTGATATATTTTGATATACTTTCAAAAAACCCATAAATACTACAAATTTCCTTCTTTTCCCAATTTCTTTGAGTTATTTTCATCATTTTTATTATTATTATTATTCGTAAAAAAAAAAAAAACCCAGTTATTATTTAGTATTATTATTATTATTATTACTAGTAGTAGTAGTAGTAGTATTAATTTAAAAAAAGTACTAGTTTTATTGGTATTCTTATAATTATTATTATTATTATTATTATTATTAATAATTTCTTTATTATTATTTCTGTAAAATTTATTAATCCTTGAAAAAAATCGTATTATTATATTGTCAAAAAAAAGTAGTAGTATTATTATTGTTGTTGTTGTTGTTATTATTATTTTTATTATTATTATTATTATTTTTATTATTATTATTATTATTATTATCATTATTATTATTTTGCTAATGGATCCTAACAACCCAGATTTTTCTAATTATTTTTCTGATTTGGGTGATGATTTTGTCACTAACCCTCGATTTCAAACCTTCCTTCAACGAATTGCTACTCAATATCCACCGCAACAAACACCTCCTCAAATTCCACCACAACAAACACCTCCTCAATTTCCACCACCACATTCACCTCCTGTTTATCAAGGGAGCAATTCTCAATATGAAGATGAAATGGAAGAAAGTGTTCCAGATACTCCACAATACCCTCCACCTCCTACAACGAAGCAGATCGAATAATAACGCCAGTAAGTTATTCTATGCTTCCTCCAAGCCTACTCAACATAATTTTAATTATCACCATGGTTGGGAAATGGTTAAAAATGACCCAAAGTGGAGGACAAAACTTAGGTGGGCGTTGTCAAGAGAGGAAAGATTAGTTGCAGGTGATGCCGTCGAAGATGATAATAGTGGCAGTGATAAGAGATGTAGAACCGTAGAGGAAGGTGGTACACCATCCACGGGTTTCTGTTCTGGAGGTCTTCCTCGACCCGATGGTGTTAAAAAGGCAAAGGCCAAGCGTAATAAGGGAAAAGAAGTAGCTTCTGATTCTTCAACCATTGGTGAGCAAATGAAGCAGAATAATGCCTGTAGGGAAACGGAGGCACAAATACGGTTGAAGAAGTTGGATTTTGACATGGAAAGGGAGAGGAGGAAACAAAAACAAGTAGAAATTCAACAAAAACAAGTTGACATACAAGAGAGAAGGCTGAACTATGAAATGTTGCAAGATCTACTTTCAAAGGGTACTAATCCAACTCCCGATGAAGAGGCCTACAAGGAGGAATTATGTGCAATGCTATATGGTAGAAGGCACGTGCGACTTGGAGATGCAATGTGTTTGCTTATGTTTTATTTAGTTAATGTTAACTTTATGTTTTATTCAGTTAATTTAATGTACTGGTGTTTATTTATTTTATGTTAAATTTATGTTTATTTAATGTTAAATTTATTATTAATATTCAGTTAATTCACGTGTTTTCTTAGTAATTTGAAATTGATAAAGCTGATATCTGATAAAGATACAATCTGACACGCGTCACATGCACTGTTGTTATTTTGAAACTGATCACAACCATTGACAAACTGTACATACTTCAATGGCATGTCACCTCTGCTCAAACATCAATAACACTGCACAATCACATGCTAAAGTAATGCAGTGAATTGTCACCTCTGCTGAGGCATCCATAATACTGCACAATCAGAAGCTAAAATAATGCATTGAATTGTCACCTCGAGTCACATGCAATTTCATTTCCACTTTAACTCACATGCAAACCAACCACTACCATCCAATAATGTCTTTCACATTTTCTATATATACCTGTGTTATCATAAACGGAAACAATCCCAAACACACCAACTATCTAACCAAAATAAAAATGTCTTTCATTTCTTCCGCCTCAAGCTCCTCTTCTGATGATTTCTCCAAAAATCATGAATTTGATTGCTTAGTTGATGAGTATGTAGCAAATCACCTACCTCATAGATTACTTCCTCCAGACCAACCAAAAGAACCTCCACTAAATAATGAAACTGAACTATCAACGGAGCCCAAAAGGGATAGGGAAAGAGAAAAAGGGCATGTGCAACTATACAACGATTATTTCGCGAATAATCCAATGTATAACGACAACCAATTCCGACGTAGATTCCGTATGCAACGGTCATTGTTCTGCCGCATTATGAGCAAAGTGGTTGAGGGGGATCAATTCTTCCAGCAACGTCGAAATGCAGCTGGGAAGCTTGGTTTATCACCATTGCAGAAATGCACCGTTGCAATAAGAATGTTAGCGTATGGCGTAGCCGCAGACGCTGTGGATGAATATTTACGTCTCGGCCAAACAACCTCTAGGCAGGCATTGCAACATTTCTGTCAAGGGGTTATTTCACAATTTGAAAGTGAATATCTACGAAAACCTACAGATGAAGATTTAAGGAGAATCCTTCATCAAAATGATCTGCGTGGTTTTCCAGGGATGATTGGTAGTATAGACTGCATGCATTGGGAGTGGAAGAATTGTCCTACTGCTTGGAAGGCACAATATGCTGGTCGTAGCAAGAGTGCAACTCTCATTCTTGAAGTTGTTGCTTATCAGGATCTATGGATTTGGCATGCGTTCTTTGGAATGCCCGGGTCATGTAACGATTTGAATGTCCTTTATCGTTCACCGGTATTTGATGATGTTTTACAAGGTCATGCACCACCCATAAATTTTACGGTTAATGGACATCAATATGAGTTGGGCTACTACTTGGCCGATGGGATTTACCCGAGATGGCCAACTTTTATACAGGGTATAACACATCCTCATGTTAGAAAAGACAAGTTGTTTTCTGATCAACAAGCAGCAGTTCGGAAAGACGTCGAACGGGCTTTCGGAGTTTTACAAGCTAGGTTCGCTATACTACGACAACCATCACTTGCATTCGACGAAGATATTCTCTGTGATATTATGAAAGCCTGTATAATAATGCACAACATGATCGTCGAGGATGAACGACACAACTACGCACGTGCAGATGTTTTGAGACGATACTACGAAGAAGATCGACCACAACGTACGGTGAGGCGGGCAGGCCCGAGCACAAGTGCCACGGTGAATAACAACGAGCCATTTGAATTCAACGTCGGGCGACCACCCAACATTGATTTCAACACGTATTTGGAGAGAAGGATTTCCCTTCGTGATAGAGAAATTCATTCATCTCTGAAACAAGATTTAGTGGAGCACATATGGCAGAACTTTCGTCATAATGCGGTTGAATAAATAATTTTTTAGTTTGTTATTTGTAACCGTATCGTTATTTATGTTTTAATACTCGTGTTTGTATTTTATTTATTATTATATTATTTTTTTTATTATTATTATTATCATCATTATTGTTATTATTATTATTATCATCATTATTGTTGTTATTATTATTATTATTATTATTATTGTTATTAATTATTAAATTATAAATAAAACGTAATTGAAAAATAAATAAAATATTATTAATTATAATTGAAACGTAATTGAAAAATAAATATAAAAATTATAAATTTTTATTAAATTATTTTTAAAACGTAATTAAAAAAAAATTATTTTTACATATTTTAATTGTATTGGAAAGAAAAATATGTAGTATAAGCATTATTTCAAAATAAAGATATAATAAAAAGATGATGTGTATTATGGTGGGGTATAGTAAATAGTGGAGGAGAAAGTGATGAGAGGTTTTTTTTCTCCTCATTGCTGTGGTGAAAAAAACATTTGATGAGAGAAATTGTATGGGAAGAGTGAGAAAGTGGGTAGAGAGAGATTGAGAGGTTTTTTTTCTCCTCACTGCTGAGAATGGTCTAATAATAAAAGAAAGTACAGCGTCCTGTACCCCTGTAGAAGTTATGGTTAAATATAAAACCCCATAACTCCCCCCATATGTTCATACTCAAGGAATATACGTTTCAAGAGTTTTGGTGCGTATCCTCTTACACTTTACGTGATTTACCAATTCAACTTGTAATGACTCCAACCAATTGGGGTTTTTAATCAAATTAAAATCTGAAAACTATAGGAATATATTAACAACATCAACTACCCAAAAACAACACCAAAATATAATTAAAATCATGCCTTGAATCAATGAAAACAAACTTAGAAATTAAATTAGGAGAAGAAAGAGTTTTTTTTTTCTTTTGTACTAAACCGAAAAGAGGAGAGGGAAGACGGAGGACGGCAGGAGGCCGGTGGCTGGCGGCTGCTGCTGGTCACTGGCGTGAGCTGGTGGCCGGCGGTGGCTGCCAAGGTGGTCGTTGGTGGCACGTGGGAGGAGGAAAGAGAGGTGTGAGAAAGAGAGGAAAAAAAGGGAGGAAAAAGGAGAGGGGGAAATAAAAGGAAATGTTTGGAGTTTTGTAAAATCTAATAATACGATTTTTAAGAGTGAAATTCTTGAGTTTTTAGGGAATTTATATCCTCCTTTTAAAACAAAATACTTATTTACAAATTGCCATTACTAATCTCATTCCTCCTTGAATTCTCCTTTGGGGCTAACTTGTTGGGCCCTTAAAAATTCTTTTACTCCCAACAAGTTAGTCCAACACTTTTATTGATGTTGACCCGATTCAAAACACTTTATTGCCCCAATTATTAGCTCATATTATTTTATACACACTTATTTATATTTAAATAATTCATTCATTTAAAATGAAATGAATCATTTTAATTTATAAATAAAATAATCAATTTATATATATAAAATATTATAATAATATGTTTTTCCTTCTTATCCTATTTCTTGTGTGCTGACATATAATAACCCCAATCAAAAGAATTTTTATACAAGCATAAATCACTTGCTTGTAATTCTACTAGGTGGTACTCTTCTAGATATTTGAAGACTTAAATAGTGTATTTGGTGAGCTCTAGTCACCTAATAGTTGGCAATAATATATAAGTTCATCTGGTGAACTTGTGGTCACCCATTACTCTTTCGTATATATATATAAATTAAAACCTATTAACTCTTGAAATTTTCATAAACATAGATTATTATGGCTCAATTTCAATGTTATGTCTTGCCATTCAATTCATTTCATATATCTAACATTGAGATAGCGTCAACACATTATCAAATGAAACTTCAGGTTTCCATAACGGGGATGGCCTAATTTAATTATCACATTCAATCGTTTATCAAAATTTAAATTCTGGTCATTTTTCTTACACTAGTATTTACTTGATAAATTATATTTGTGAATGGCCATGAGTATGATGTGATATTAGAACACCAATGTGTGTTTCTTTATAAATTTGGCAAGACAATCAACTGATACTTGATCTAATAATAACTCATACTCTGTTGGAACATTGATTATAATCTTGATACATGCTAATCTTGTTGGATATTTTATACTCTTCTGGAGTTTTTTTTATATAATCATGATATATATCAATTTACTAAACATATTGATGTCTTCTAATCTGGAGATCTATTAGAATGTATCACTTTTTCGAATTTGTCATTGTCAATATATAGTTGATCTACTTTCCTTTTTCGAAGATTCTTATCTTTGGAACCTATTAGGCTACCACGCTTCAGGCGTGCTCTAGGTTCATTAGCAAATGACGTTGTCCTTATAGGACATCAATTTTAATTGGAGCATTTACAAGTGGTATATAGTCAATGACATTTATTCATATATATCCTTAAGATGGTGTCATTCTTGATATTTAATAATTATGTGGTCACCTCTATTAAGTAAAATATTGATATTAAGGCTAGTGTATGAGCCAAACTGATCATTAATGTATCTTATTATTCATGTGCAAGGATTACATAATAATAAAATAAATACTATCTCCCCCTAATCCTTGCATATGGGGGTACAGAACCAATTCAACAACCTTTATAATCCCTTGCACTTTTTAAGCCATAAATTCTTTTGACAATGTCATGTATCAAGTAACATGTTCCTGTTTTTTTTTATAGGAAAGCATGCTTCCTTTCAATGACACGAACTCTCATTCACTTTTAGAGTGAGTAAATCTAGGAATCTATGCATCTTCAATTCTCACTTAGAGTTCGGTATCTAAAAACATTCCAAACCTTTTGTATATTTTTTTCATGAAATTGTGTCTATAGAATCACATTAGTATTGCAGATGCTATTAATAATCAACATACTTTATTAGAAACTAATAGAAATTTCTAGGTCATATACGTATCTTTATATCATTTTTGAGGGTTTTGACCCTTCATAAACTTTAAGGAACTTTAGGTCCATATGTATAAGTATTTCATGTTCAATTATTCATCATCCAACTTCATGTATATAGGTATATAATCAAATTCAATCACACATCAATCAATATCTCAACATTGCATGTGAAGCCATTAACAAAATATAAAACTAATATTATATTCTCAGTTAAATCTGTAACACAATTAATATATACATATGCGTACTCCGGGACTATCTAAAATAGAAGTTTATTTCTAGTGAACTAGAAAACTAGCATATATGCTTTAAACAAGGAGAAAGTTTTTAAGATAATCTTCGAACCTATAAAAGAGGATAATAATGGATACTCTACTTCAATAGTCCATATATATTCAACATTTTAATAATCTAAAAGGCAACCATTACCACTAACAATTAAAATCAAGTTCAAACACTACTACACAAATAATATCAATCGTTATATGAAATAATATGAATATTTTAAGCCCGTCTCATTACCACTTATGGAATAGAAAAGCAAAAATCAATGCACATAAGAATTGAACATCATAATTCAACCAACTCCAAAATGAGTTCATGTAATTAATTATCGACTAATAAGCTCATGAGAGTTGCTTACTATACAATGGTGTTACAAAGGACTAACAATGATTATGATACAATTTAATTAAATACCATATGCCTATCATAGTAAGAAAATGAGACATAAAAAAAAACTTCCAACAATATATCTACCATCATCCAATAAAGCTTATGTAATGCTTTATTATAATAAGGTAGTAATAATAATCCTTAATCAAGCATGTACAATAATAAGGTAGAAATAATCAAGCATAATAATCATGAAATTATAAAGATATATATAAATTTATACATAGTGTTTGGGTGTTAGCATTTTACAACATCTTCGGTGCATGCAAGGTATCAAATTGCACTCTTCATGCATATGAGAAGGTTATATAAACTATTTAATCATTTATTTTAATAGAACAAGCATAAGTAGCACTATATACCACAAAATCAACAAGTGGGGCATACCATATATACTTTGCATTAATGGAAAACATACATGCATGTTTAATAAATTAAAATATAGTTCTAATCTTAAAATTTAAGAAAGCAAATTATCAAAGAACAAATAAATGAAAACACTGACAACAAGCTCTGTTTTGACAGCAGATTCAACCTTATACTTTGCAAGCCTTATATTACTTCCCTTGGGGCTTTATTAACACTGTCATTACCAATATAGGCTGATCTATTGGGTATACTCATGGATTAGTCAATTATGGATATACCAATATTAATAAGTTTATACTTGATAAATTTCGTACAAATGAATCCAGTAAGTACAAAACACTTACCTCGATGATGAATGGTTTTCCTCTTTTTTTTCCTCCGCTTAATCGGATAGGGTTGAATTCCATAGGGTATGTATTGTTAATAATTATCGTATCATAGCCAAAAGAGAAAATAATAATAAATTATTATATTATAATTTAGTAGTATCATAAACTACAACACAAAATATAAAGATTAGAATAGGAAGTTAATTTGATCTTATTATTTATCAATAAAGCGATAAAGTAGCATAATCGATAGATTAACCGACTTAATAAGCAGCGAGGGCCTTGATAAATAAGTCCAACGTCACGTCATTACGATAGATAAATATCTCAAAAGCATTAATGGTATTTGCCCATCATGCTATAAAATTCTATACTAATTCAAAGTCATAGTAACAAAAAAATAACTAACCAATACGATACAATGCAATATAAATAAAACATAATTTGTGCACATGTGAATAGGATAATCACAAATTCATTATAAAATTACTTGGAAAATTTATTAGAAAAAACCTTTTATAGCAAATTTTTTGTCTGGAAAAACCTTATAAAATCTTTTTGGCAACTTAAAATCTGATTGTAAATTTTTTTTGTCAAAGACAACCTAGACCTCTAATTCACTCAATTAAACTCTAATCTCCCATTATTTATTCTAATTACTCGTAATTCTCACTTAACTAATTAATAATTAAATTTAT